TAGTTTCCTGTCAGTCAAGGTGTCAAAGGTCCTATTAGTTATCATTTGGCAGTGATTTTACTGTGTGTATGTATGTGTGTGATTTTTTGGATTGGTTTGTTTTTCTTTTTTACTTTTTATGTGTATACATCTTCACTCACCAACTCTATTCTTTGTGATGGCTAAAACTCATTTAGGAATTATCCTTTGTAATACCTAGTATAGTGTCGAGTTTAATAAATGAATTGATTGATAGTAATGGAGCCCTGATGGTGCAGTGGTTAAGAGCTCAGCTGCTAACCAAAAGGTCGGCAGTTTGAATCCACCAGCCACTCCTTGGAAACCCTATGGGACAGTTCTACTCTGTCCTATAGGGTCACTATGAATTGGAATCAACTTGATGGCAACGGGTTTGGTTTTTGGTTTAAAGTTATATCAGAAAATTTGAAGCCATTTTCATTATTCAGAAAACTGAAATAGTACAAAATAAATGTATGAGTGAAAATGTGAGTATAAGTGTGAAGGCACAGGAATCTCTGACGAAGAATGCTGCGTCTGAGGTAGGGACCACTTTAACCAGAGGAAATTTAAGAAGACATTTATAGTCTCCTTAATATTTTTGGGTAAATGTCTATAAAAATATTTCCTAGTACGGAGCAGTATAATTTAGTGATGTAAGAAACCAATTTTATTGCAAATAAATTGTATACTTTATATCATTATCATTAGTGGAATAGATGGTGACCTTCCACCTCCTTGAAATACAAATTCATGGCACATGTGGCTTCTGCATTTTCTTTCCCTCCCTAAGTAACTGTTTTATGGGACTGAAAGAATACTGTGCAGATACACTAACTCTGTTGTTTAGTTTCAGGGTTTCATTTCTTCTCCATCTAGAGTTATTTATTTAAACTTGGCATGGGGATTTTTTTTTTTTTTTTTTAATTCAGGGAATGCTCTAGTCCAGTGCTGTCCAACAGAAGTTTCTGTGATGATGGAAGGGTCCTATATCTGCACTGTTCAATACAATAGCACTAGCTTCATGTGGCTACTGAGCACTGGAAACGTGCCTAGTATGACGGGGGAACTGGGTTTTTGATTTTATTTAATATTAATTATTTGAACATTGAAAGAGCCACATGTGGCTAATGACCACAGAATGGGACAGAGCAGCTGTCTTTTGTAGAGTTGCCTGCTTTTAGAACAGATCTTTCCTTACTTGGTAAATTGGGTACCTTTAACAGTAGATTCATTTGGCCACTGGTTCTTTATTATCATGTGAGTTTTTAAAACTACGATGCATTAACAGTAAAGCTTTCAGTATCTTTATTATTCTAAGAAACCTATATTGGTGGCACAGTGGTTAAGAGCTATGGCTGCTAACCAAAAGGTCGGCAGTTCGAATCCACTAGCCACTCCCTGGAAGTCTTATGGGGCAGTTCTACTCTGTCCTGTAGGGTCACTATGAGTTGGAATCGACTTGAGGGCGACAGGTTTTGTTTTGTTTTGTTTTTGGTATATTGGCAAAAGGTCTCTGGTTGGTGCAAATAGTTAACCTAAAGGTTAGTAGTCCCAGCGGTGCTGCAGAAGAAAGGCCTGGTGATATGCTTCTGTAAAGATTACAGCCAATGGAGCAGTCCTATGGAGCAGTCTACTCTGTAACACATGGGGTCTCCATGAGTTAGAATTGACTCAGTGGCAATGGATTTATACTGTCAAAAGTAAAATTTAGGGACATTTATTATTTACTGTCATGGCAACAGGGAGAAGACCATTCCTGTTTCTATCTTGTTTGTGCTTGGACTCAAAGGAATAAACATACGAAACAGGTGTCTTTATAGTGTGTAGGCTCCCTTTCCCTTGCCCTGCTGGGATGTTGGGGCTTTGGAAACAGAATTCCCATTTGCAGCCACCCTGCCTTGGTGTTGCTCAGCAGGGCATTCTCTGAAGTCCTCTCTAGGTGGGGCATCTGAGTAAGTGGGCCTGCCAAATTCTACTGAAGGTGGATTTTCTGTCTCACAGTCTTGTTTTGCTCACAGTTCTATGAGCAAGTGGGTGGGGTTTGCTTTCTCTAGGCCAGCAGGAGCTTGCTCTAGCTCTTCCTTCCAATTTCTTTAATTTGAGGATCCCCACACTTGCTCTTTGAAATGTTATTTTGTAAACTGCTATTTCCTTAAACCTGTTATGCTTTTTTTCCATCTGCGTTGAAGTCTCTTTTCCCAGTGAGGGCTTTCTTTTTCAACTTAGTCATGCTATGTGGGGAGACCCAGATCCACACTGCTGGGCCCTCTGACTCATCCGAGGAGGTTGGGTTGCTCCAGGGAATTCCACTCACAGCCCAATGGAACAACAGGGAGGAACCAATTAAGTGAGTCCTTTCTGCAGTCTGCCCCTTTTCCTGGCAACTCTCCTTGTCCAAAGCTAATTGAGGAGGGAAAAAAGCAAAGATGCCCTTCCACCTTTAAAATAATGTTTTTAAGAAATCGTTTCTAGCAATTCTAATTTCCAGTTTACAAGGTACTTTTGTCATTGCTGCTGCTGCTGCTTTTAAATGTTCCATAATCAGGCTAGTAGAAAAATCTTCAGTGCTCCAATTTTCCTTTTCCTCCACCAGCAAGCCAAGAGAGTCAATTCTGACAGTTGCATTTTCCTTCCAGTTACAGATTGAACTGTTCCCCCTTTGGAAATATATTATTCATGAATGTGAGCAGGCTCTGAAGTCTAGCTCCTCCCATCTGCAAATAGGAGGCAGAGGATGGATGGGAATTACTCCATTTCTGACCCCCTTGGCTGCTCTGGGCTGTGCAGGACTGTGTCTTCACACTCCTGCTGAGACGTCAGGCCTTTCCTTGGCCCTCGCTGTCCCTCAAAGAAAGCCCTCTGCCAAGGATGGCTTAGGCCCATGATTTCTCAATCCAGACAGGTTCAGACAATAAATTTTTCTGACTAGATTTGCTAAAATGGGTCAAAGCTGAATAACATAATAATAACCAAAAAACTGACCACTGAGCCAGCTATAAGTTTGCCAGTAACCCATTCAATCTATTTTTAGTCTTACTAGACACATCCTGAAATTACAAGAAGGAACCCCAACTCCAGTATTCCATTAGCTCAGGGCAGGCTGACCTAGTCAGCCACTAAAGAAGCATCTTTCCATACCTAATGAGAGGCAAGGAGAAATCAAGAGGTGCACAGTGTTTCTGTTTTTGTACAGTTGCTTAGCTGTGCACAGGTGCCATGTTTTTCTAATTGAAATACCCTTCCCTCAATTATGATTATATATGTAGTGTATATAGAAATATATATGTATATGTATATATGTGTGTGTATATGTGTGTTGTGTGTGTGTATATACATATGTGTGTGTATATCTATAAAGACAAAGTTATAAATAACTCTTTGTCTTTATATACACACGTATGTATACACCTCTCTGTTTTTAGTTCTAAGCATTTCCGTCCACTTTATTATTTTTAAGAAAATCACTTCAGGATATCTTAATTTAGCAGGGGGCTGCCCATTCTGTATTCTGCTCTCACGCTTGGCACAAGGCCTTCCCCTTACACAGTTATCTTACTGCCTTAGTTCCATGTTCAGTGGATATCACCCTTCACTAGATTTCGCTAGACTTCGACCTGGGAATCAAGAGGGTCTCCTTCAGCGTGGCCATCTCAACTTCCCAAAGAACGTGAGCCTGTCTGTTGCTGAGGTCAGGAGGCTATTTACCAGGAGAAAAGCGCAGTTATATGGACTACAGAACTCATGTTAACTAAATTCCAGCTAAACTAAGCAAAGGGGCGGGGGGGTGGTGTAAATCCTAACTTGTGCCTGTGGTTATAATCCCATTTGGGAATGGGTTTACTTTGTTATGTTAATGAGACAGGATTAGTATGGGATATGTCTTAAGTCAATCTCTTTCAAGATATTAAAGAGATTAAACAAACAAGCGAGAGAAGCAAAGATGGCAGAAGATAGATGCCACACCACATGAAGATCACCAAGGAGCCAAGGAACAAGGACCTTCCTCCGGAGCTGACAGAGAGAGAAGCCTTCCCTGAGAGCTGACACCCTCATTTTGGACATCTAGCCTCCTAACTGTGAGAAAATAAATTTCTCTTTGTTAAAGCCACCCATTTGTGGTATTTCTGTTATAGCAGCACTAGATAGCTAAGACAGAATTTGGTACTGAGAAGTGGGGGTACTGTTCTAACAAATACCTACAACATGGAAGTGCTTTGGGAATTGGGTAATGGGTAGAGACCGGAAGAGTTTTAAGCCTAGGTTGCCTTGAAGAGACTGTTAGTAGAATCATGGATGTCAAAGGCAATTCTGGTGAGGGCTCAGAAGGAAGTAAAGAGAGCTATAGAGAAAGTCTCTATTGTCTTAGAGAATACATATGGCACCAGCAACAGAATGTTGCTAGAAATGTGGACGTTAACTATGCTTTTGGTAAAGCTTCAAAAGAAAGTGATGAACGTGTGATTGGACAATGGAGGAAGGGCGATGCTTTTTATGCACTGGTAAAGAACTTGTCTGAATTATGTTTCAATGTTTGGTGGAAGGTAGAACTTGTAAGTGATGAGCTTGGATATCTGGCTAAGAAGATTTCTAAGCAAGATCTTAAAGGGGCCACGTGGTTTCTTCTTGCCACTTATGGTAAAATGTGGGAGGAAAGAGATGAACTTAAAAATTAACTGTGCAAAATGAAAACAGAACTTAAAGAATTGGAAAATTCTGTTGTATAAATTAAGGACACGTGTCCTAGAACTTTCACCAAGGATGTGCCTACACAATCTTTTGTTAAAGAGATTAAGCCTGTGAC